CTATTTTTTTATTTTGTTTATTAAGTTAGTAACTTTTCTGGGGAAGGGATTGTGAGGGCCAGTGGCATCAGTTTTACAAATTTTAGTTTGATAACCATCTGTTGAGTATTGAGATCAAATTGAAAACAACACTCCCACTTCTAAGGAGCTTGTAGCTTTATAAGAAAGGCTGCATTGGTCATATAGTTTGTAAATACATAAGTATGCACGATGCATATTTTATAGTAGTTCCACCTTATCTGTGGTGTCACCTTTCACAAATTTCAATTTCCCATAGTTAACAAAGGTCTGAAAATATTAATGGAAAATACACATCAAGCTGGTCTGTTTTTGAAATGGTTCAGTCATAGTGACTTTAGGTTAAATTGTGCCAATTAGTCTTTAATTGTCCATTTGGTCATTGTGTTTACAGAAATAGGACTCTGGCTTTGCTATGTTTAGCCTTGAACTCAGCATAGAATTGTACCCTTGGGCTCCCGGTGACTCAGAAGCCCTGACTCTTTTTTAAGCTGTGCATAACAGATGAGAAATATTGGTTCAGAAGACCTACTCTGTTAAAACAGCTCAAGGCTGTTTCGGCCTGCAAATCACTGACTGACTTGGCACCCTTACCTTAGGACTCACCAAGGGGATTTGTCTATTAACCCACATTAACTCTCAGAATGTAGTTTTATAAAGGCATTTACTTGACCATTATAAAGCCATTTGGAAAGTTGTTCATGTTGAACAGATTACCAGCATAAAAGAGATAATTCTTTAATATTTTAATGAAATACCTTTTAAGTATTCCTTTTTTTTTTCATAGAATAAGAGTACAATTGAAAAACCCTAAATTTTTTTGTAACTTCAAAAATTTATGGTGACATGGTACAAATAAAACTCTTGCATTATATGTTCTAATTTTTGGAGAGGTTTCCTAGGCAATTTCCATTGATCTCTCTAAATTGTTCTCTATCATTCTTCATACACAGTTTGCCCAGTGAGGATGATCTCTGTCTTCACACTATCTGAATTTGCTGGTCTGGTCTTCTATTTTTCATTTGCTTTAACCAACTAGTATGCTTTAGGTAGGAGAAGAGAGAATTCTGGGTGCTTAATTCCTTCACTTTCTCCCTGATTGACCATTGTTTGGTTGTAGTTGCATTTATCTATGACCACAGCTCCTTTTGGATAGCTTCTGTTCTACAGCTCTTTCTAGGTCCTGTAGAACAGAGATGTGCATATTCTAATCTTTGCAGAGAGTGAATAAGATACCTTACATTGTAAAAGGGACTCTGTGGGAATGATTAAGAATCTGGAGAAAAGAAGGTTATCCTGGATTGTCTGAGTGGGTTCAAAGTAATCAAAAGAGTACTTCCACATGGAAGGCAGAAAGACAGAGCCAGAGATAAGATGAAGGCAAGACATTTGAGTAATGTAATTGCTGGCTTTGAAGTTGTAAGATGACCACTAGTCAGAAAATGCAGGAGACCTCTAGAACATGGAAAAAGTGGCAAAGCATCCAAAAGAAATGCAGTCCAGCCAACATCAGGTCTTTAGCCAGCCAACTTTCCAACCTTCAAGTGTAATAAAGGATTTACATTGTTCTAAGTTGCAAAGTTAATGATTGTTTGATACAGTGGCAATGGAAAATTACTTCAAGTAGTAATGACTTTCCACTGCTATTAGATCCATGATACTACACAATCCTTGCCTTACCATGCCTTTGTAGGCAACTCCGTCACCAGGTGTTTTTTTTTTCATTGACCTTTTGGAATATATCATCTAGTTTCTCCCAGGACTATAATTGTTAAAGATTTTTTTTCATTTTACTCAGCAAAGCTTATTTTTAGTGATTTATTCTATGGAAATTGTGCATGGCAAATAAACTTGTGTTATTTATATAAGAAACATAAGTATATATATATATATATAAGAAATAAAGCAAATAATGCAAATTTCAGAAATAAGGAACTGGTTAAACAATAATGGTACAGATATATAACAGAATGCCAGAAAGTGTTTATGTTACATGTACTTTTATACACACATACATCATTATCTCAAAAAATCAAGCTATAATCAGGGCCATACCAATGCCTCTATCTAGCTATCTTATATACATATATATATATATATATATATATGACATATATATATTTTAAAATATATGGAAGGAGAAAAGAAGGAGAAAAAGATAATGATATTTTTAGAGGTCAACACCTGTGAATGGATTAACTGGATTTTTTTGTATTTTTTCATATTTTTCAAATTCTCTTACAGATTTTTCATTAGTAATCAGAAAGAAACACCTACATCAGAGATGGGAGTTCTTTACATAGAGTAAGAAGTCTTTGTATTACAGAGAAAACTCTTTTTGCTTTCATCCAGTTAGAATAATGGTTTCTCCTAACTGTAGCTGTTTGAGTGCAATTCCGTTATAGTTATGTGTATTCGCATCTGCCTCTATCATATCATGGGCATTTTGAAAAGGAGATTGCCTGCAATTTATCTCTTCCTGTACTTAGAGTTCCCTATGTCAGATCCATGGCATGTATTAAACAAAAGCTTTATATTAAATTAAACTTATAGATGCTTAATCAGATCTTCTCTGATGAGAACTTAATTACAGACTTATAAACATATAAGTAACAGGAAAAAGTATGAGGCAAATTTATATAGCAAAGAGATAGACAAAAAATAAACAACCTTATTTAAGATGAAAATGGATAAAATATCATTTGTATCATATTGTGTCACAGCAGTGTTCATTTAAAATTTGTTTACTAACAGTATTGGGTCATTGTTAAACAATTAGCTGAATTAAACATTAGGGTTAGACCAGTCAAAAACCACTTCTGAATGAGCTAAAAAAAGTAACTTATTGTACTTTAGTAAAACTGGAAAGACTTCATGAACAAGGTCGAATCTTTAATTATAGACTGTTGAGTTCATTGAGCAGAGAAAGACATTCTGGGAATGTGGTACCTATTTTGGAGAAGACTTAAAGAGGAAGTAGAACAAAAAAGCCAAGATAGCTGTTTGGAGATAAGATAGTCTAGTAGAGTCTAAACATCAGAAAATAGTCAAGGCATCTTTATTTTGGTGGAAAAACATGTGAAATCCATGCATAGCAAGGGTTTCACAATTATCAGGGAAAATGCAAATTATGAAAAAAGCTATGCATGGATTTAAAAAAAATTCACCAAAATTAAGTCATCTTTTAATATTTTTCCAGAAACTATTTGATGTATATTAAACATATCATAGCAATAAAAGACAACAATAAAAGAAATGCGAAATCCATCTACTTATCTCTATTACTAGGTCTCTAAATCTTGCCTCATTGCAATTATGAGAATCAGTGAGGCAATATCAAAGAAAGCAAAATCTTCAAATCTGAGAGATAGAAAGCATTAACAGAAAGATAAAGATTTCTAAAAACCATTTTCAAATTCTGAAATACTACAAGGAATAATGAAAAGAGCAGTGTTCTGATAACTCTCTCAAGTCTACTGTTAGCTGGATGTGTGACCTCTGGCAATTCACTGAGCATTGGAAAATACAGCTGAGCTATTGGTCTAGGTCATCCCCGCTCCCTGACACACTTGACAAAAATGCATAGTGACAAAGCATAGAGATAGCAATTTTTGACATAATCCCTAAAGACCACATCATTTGGTTAATTTAATTTGACCTTCATCACAGACAAAAATTGTTGCTACTAGTCAGAGAAGTATGGAGACAAAAAAAGGGATGAAGACTATTCAATGAATATGCACTCCATTCCAAAGAGGAGCAATGAGTTAGACAGCAGAACTGACCCAAGTGAAAACTGTATTTTCTACATCTGGAAGGTGAGAAATAGATGTTTAAACTGAATGCAGGAAGCCGTGAGAGGCCATGACAGTGAAAGTCAGAGAAAGGTTATATCAGCTGTGTTGTGGAAGATATCATTAGTTTATTATTTGGATCATTTCAAAGGACTTCAAGAAAAAAATGGCACTGTCTGCAGAGTAGGGGTAATCAACTCCCTATATTTTTAATATAGTTTACTATATTTTTAATATAGTTGAGCATGTTAAAAAAAGGATTCTTTGGTCTTAATCTAATATATAATTTTTAACAAGATACATGAATTTCCAACTGTTAGTTTAAATGATTTTCAATGTAAATATTCCTCAAAAATGAAACATTATTTTATAGCATCGCTATTACTACTTGATTGTTTTAGGGGTGTTACCTTGAAAAAGGTGGCTAAAGAATAACAGCAGTTCATGGAAGACATCGAACATCAGGGAGATAGCTTTGGACATTGCATAGGGTGCATGAGAGTACTTAGTTACACCTGGTAAAACGGAGGATTCTAATGACTGAATTGATAATTGGCAAAAAATTGGTAAACAGCAATGTAGGGGTTCCGACTCCATGTGACACCAGGGTCCATATTCTTACCCACATGGAAAGTCTTGAGATAGAGAAGGTTTTTGTTTTTGTTTCTTTATTTGCCAGGTAGAGTTATAGACAGAGAGAGAGAAAGGTCTTCCTTCTGTTGGTTCACCCCCCAAATGGCCGCTACAGCTGCTCTGATCTGAGGCTAGGAGCCAGGTGCTTCCTCCTGATCTCCCATGTGGGTGCAGGGCCCAAGCACTTGGGCCATCCTCCACTGCCCTCCCGGGTCACAGCAGAGAACTGAACTGGAAGAGGAGCAATCGGAATTAGAACCCGGCACCCATATTGGATGCCGGCGCCGTAGGCAAAGGATTAACCAAGTGAGCCACGGCCCCTGGATAGAGAAGATTTTAGCTATACTTACTTCAAAACATTATTGCCTTCCTTCTCCACTCAGCACCCTAGGTGCGTTTCTTAATTCTTTGGAAGTGAAGTTTATCACTGTGTTAAACAGAGTCATGTAGCTCACAAATAAAGGCCACTGAAATGGAATTCTTAGGGATGAGACAGGAAAGAAGGGTCACAATATTTAAGATAAACCATCCAACCAGACCACTTTGATGCCATCATAGATGAGAATGCAGCATTTTTATTGTAAAAGTCCACATGTGAGGCAATTCCCTTTGTGAAAAGGTTTTCAAATACATAGACAGGGAGCAGTTGATAATTAAGAATTAGATCATATATAATATATATTCATATTGCCAATGCTATGCACACATTGCAAAGCTAGCTTTTAGTGTCTCCATTACAGAACACATTTCCTGTTGACAGTAATAACATTTTCTCACCATTGAAATTTGCCAACAACTCTCCCAAAGAATCAACATTTAATATCTTGACAATTCAAAACAAGAAAATAGTCTATTTACATTTGTTTGAGGTTATATACTAGAGCACTGATTATGAAAGTTTTATAAAATTGGCAGCTAAGTATGTTTCAAGATTCATCCAGATGACTTGATAATGACTTTACATGTTTTTATATTAACAAAACCACTCTCTTCTTTTTTTACTCTTTTTTGATTATCTATGTAGTTCTCTTCTTTTCTACTTTTTCAATTACCTATATATTTATAATTGCTATGATTGAATTCTAACTTAGAGAAATGATTACCATAAAGAAAAATAACTGGCAAAGGGCACTATTTTAGAAAAATAAAGATTCAGGATGTGTACATGAAGATGGGGTTCAACTCATCATGGTTGAAATCTGATGCAGTCACTTCATTTAATACAATATAATCTAATGGGCTTGACCTCCATATAAGTCATTCATGTGTTCATTCAGTTTTTAATTTAACCTTCAGCACATTGTTGAATTCAAAGAGCATACACTATTACATTCTGAACACGAGTTAGGTATGAATCTTACTTATGCTTTCTGTGCATTCACAAATGAAGTTGTGGATGGGTCAGGGCTGACTTAGTGTAAACCTGGAAAAATAATAAATAAAATCTAAATATACTTTAGTAGTCATTTTTATACACAAATATAGGACACAAATACTGCTCTAAAAGGAGCATGGACTTGCCCTAAAATAATTTTCTGAGAATGAACATAAATTGCCAAAATTCTTTGGGTCTTACTGTAAATTTTTATAAGATCAAATGTGAGCATATGAAATGATGAATCACTGGTTCCAGTTCAGCTCAGAGAGTTCATCAGAAGCATATGGGGCAGTTGACTTAAAACCATATTTATTGAGCACCAACTATGTACCAGGCACTATGCAAAGTGCTGAGGACCCAAAGAGGAAATGACAAGGATTCTGCCCACAAGGCACTCACAATCACAAAAAGCAGATTTTGAGATGGAGAATAAGTTCTGTAATGACCTATTATCCTAAAAGGGAGAAAAAATAGCAGCAAGCACATTCAATTACTTTAACTCTAGATATGAAATTGGGCATATTCAGTGTTGGCAAATAGATTATTGAGTCTGTATTTTACTTAAAGTGTAATATGTCATACAAACCAAAACAATAAACTATTTGAATCTTCATGCATGAGGGGGAAGGCAATGAAATTCCTCCCTCTAATTCCAACCCAAATCCTTATCATTATATTCATGATTCTTTTATAGCCCAAAGACACAAAATAAAAGACAATACTTTATGATATAACTCCAGTCCATTTATTTTGGCTCTAAGAGATGCATGCATTAAACTTGAAGCATTCTATGTTACTGAATATTTACATCATTGTACATGTGATGTGAAGGAAAATTTTTGTCTTGGGATAAAGGTATAATAGATATCTAGTCTAGTCTTTTTACTTTAAAGGGAATTATGATTCTTCTTAAATGTAGAAGATATTCTATTGTGATCAAATTTACCAATATGACCCTACGTGAACACAGGGTACAGTTTTTGACCTTTTGTATTTAATTGTGTTATGAATTATGTAAAGATATCACCATTCTAAATAGTCAGGGCTTTCACTATTTCCATTGCTGTAGCTAAAAAATATCGTGTTTGGCTCCAATATTCTTGCTCTAATTTTACTTTGCCTTGCAGGTTTGAAACACAGGAAACATTAAAGTTAAAATTACACTAACCAAAGGAGAGTTGGGCACATACAATATGACAATATACAATTTACCAGGTTAGGACATGGAAACAAATTCAGATCATTATCAATAATATAGGGGATTATTTAAGTGGACTTAGAAAGAAAAACTTTTCTCCATGAGATTTCCTGAATAATACCCATATCAATAAAATGCATATCTCTTCACAGGTAAAGGTAGGAGACCCAATAAACCAGATTGAACAAGCAGAAAGCAGTGGGGAAGAAGATTCGGGCATATGAGTCCATTTTGGCAATTCGGATATGTATCCTCCCATGTCTCCAAGCTCCTGTTCGGCAGTCTTCAAAACAGCAGAAAAAACTGGCACAGTCCTTGCCGTCCAGACACTCATACCCATATTCCTCATCTCTCTCCTGAAGGTGTGTGGCATTGTTCATTTGAATGGTTGCTGATCTTGGGCGGATATCAATGGTAGGGGCCTGAGACAAGGGTAGGGAAGGAGAGGGCCCAAAATTAATTCCACTTGAGAAATCCTAAAATATTTCTCCACAATGTCATCAATGTAATGATGAATCTGAAAATGGGTTCTCAGGATATTGCTATGATATTGTTATCTACAATGGTAAAATTGAACTGAGAAAGCACAATTGCAGATTTCAAATTTTGAGCTTAAGCAGTGCAACTGAAAATAATACCATCAAGCTTGTAGCTATAGCAGTAAGATTAAACACCAAAAGAACTCAAAGTTTAAATACTTAAATCAAACTACATGGAATCTTATTCTATTAATTATTAGATGTGAAGTTGGTTACATGAAGGCATTTAATGGTCCTACATGTGAGTGGATAGAAAAATAAAAATGCATCAAGTTTGAAATCAAATTTTGTCATGCTTACTCAGAGGCAAAGAGGAAATCCCATTACACTGAGCAAATGTATCAAATGCTGTTACTAGAAAATTCTAAGATATTCATAAATATAAAAGTTTCCTGATTTTATATCACAAAAGTATGTCTTATGCTTTAAGAGAATATCATACTACATCTATTATTCACCATCCGGAAGTTTTAAGAATGTCAGCAGTGTTGACCTACATGTGAATGAAAATTCAGAAATTAATGTTACTTCCTTAAAAAGCTTTTTTCGCATTTGAGAAGAAAGTGGTAAATTTGCCTGCATGATAATCTAATCTTTGCTATCAAATGAATTATAAAATTGCTATAAAACTACAGGGTTTATTTAGTAATAGCTTGAATGAATTAGTTTTGGGATAATATATACACAAAACCTAGTATCTCTGAATTAGCTATCAAAGTGAGTAGAAATCTCATTACAATATTGCATGATAGAGCCAACAGGCCCAGTGAAGATGGTAGTGTTCTTACCATCCAACATGTAGAGTTCAAACAAATAATAAGTATTCAGTTAAAAAAAAAAACTATCCTATTTTGAATTCGGATGTAAATAGTTAAATTTTAGTTTTGAAATGTCTAAAATGCTAGGTGTAGCCAGTGAAATTGAATCCCATTTTATCTGAGAAGAAAGGGTGTTTTAAATGTTCATGTGCAAAGATACCCTATCAGCATATAACATGTCATAGGGTTTTTATTTAATACAAAATTATGTGGGGAATAGGCATTGTAGCCTAGTGGGTTAAGATGCTGATACTTAAGACACCTGAATCCCATACTGAAATGTCTGGGATGGAGTTTCACTTTCATTTCTGATCCAGCTTCCTTCTTTGGAGGTAGCAAGTGAAAGCTCAAGTACTTGTCACTACCACCCACATCAGAGGCCCAGAAGGAGTTCCCTGTTCTTTGCTTTTTCCTCACCCCAACTTAGCTGTTGCGGACATTTGAGGAGTAAACCAGTGGGTGAAAGATCTCTCTCCATCTCTGTCTCTCCCTCCTTCTCTCTCTCTCTCTCTCTCTCTCTCCCTCCCTCCCTCCCTCTCCTTTCACTCCCTCTCCCTCTCTTTCTCCTTTTGCTACTCTGCTTATCAAATAAACTTTAAAAGAACTAAAACAAATGGTGTATAGTTGCTGAATGAACTCTAAAAATTGATCACTTTCTTCACTTTGAATGTGTTATCTCTAGTAGAATATTTAAATATCTATTCATAACAACAACAAAAAATAAAACACCATGTAAGCGTTAATAGTTAAATTCAGCAGTTGCATGCAGTGAAGTTCCATTCCAAAAACTTTATACCTTGAAGGAAAACATCCGAAGAAGCTTTGGGTTTGTAGACAGAAAAGAGAATCGCATTTTTTTTTAATAAAAAGAAGAAAAAAAGAAAAGAAAAAGAGAGACAAAATAAGATAAATTAAAAATACATTTCGAAAACATAGTAAGTAAAGTGAACTGAAATTATAAACACAGAAGGAGAGTTTGAAGTTTGGGATAAAGCATATACCTAAAGTTAGAAAATGGAATTCTAGGATTACTATTGAAACTTTTAATAAATAAATCTACAAATATCTTACTTCAAAAGTCAGTGTTCTTAAATTATGAGGAAGCTTTCTATTGCCTAGTTCCCCTATATAGATTTAGTTTGATTTTTATTTTCTGATTATCAAGGAGACCTTAATAGGTGAGTCTTGGCACCTATCAAGGCCAAAATAGCAGAAGAAAAATAAAATTTTAGCTTCCCATATGCAATTCAGGCTCTTACTAGAATTGTTAAATCAATGAATTGGCTTAAAAGAGGAAGTGAAGTTGTCAAGTAAATTTTTTTTCAGTTTCTTTAATCCCCTTTCTATGTCCTTTAAGGAATCTATCTCTCTAACAAAATGTGCTCAGTAGATACATAGCTGAAAGGGTCAAAGGGCTATTTCTAAAGACTCTTCAGAACTCATTGGAAAGCTAGTTTTCACACCCTTCTTATAGCTGTCAGGTAATAATGCGAGTGTCTTTAGAATCATGTTCCTGGGGAAGAATGAAATGGAATGTAAAGGAGGGTAGCAAATGAAAAACACCGCCACAAGGAAAATAAAGCAAGGATAGAGAAAATGAAAAAGCAGAGAGAGACTTGACAGACATGGTAGGGAAGGACTGCATAAAGCATAATAAATATTTATGAAATTAGAGCTAAGCATTTCTTTTTCATTAATCATCAAGAATAATGATACTTTCTTCTTTACCTGTTATCAAGCCTTACATTCAAATTAGCACATGCCACATGCCGTTTGTAGAATTTCACAAGGTTCCTAGAGATGCATCGGAATACAACCTAGAAGGAGCTACATTCCCTCCTTATAACTTTAGCCCCTCAAATCCATATTTGGATAGTTGGTCACTGTGATGGCCCTCATGACCCTTAAAGTAGAAAACCATGAAAGGCTATAAATTCAGGAGAGTAAAGGAATTCTCATTGCCCCTTTCTAGGAAGGAAATGGATCTTACCATTCATGGGGGTTTCTATTGGTCACAAAGTGTGTTCAGGTGGATAAATAGGTAGCTGTGTGCTCTCATTCACACTCAAGAGTTAAGACAATTTTTAGCTGTATTTATGCCTCCTTCTCCCTTATCAAAGTGTAGTGGCAAGCAGAAATCATCTTAATTGTTTCTAAATCGTATATGCATTTGAAAGCAGTCCAGCTTGGTAATTATAAATCATCAACATCAAACATCATCACCAACTACAAATGGTAAGAACTTTAATGTGTACAGTATTAAGAAATATAATTTTTAATCTTTTTCGGCATTACCACGTTTGTTTCTCACTGTAGTCCCGTAAGACATGTTTTTTAAAAATGCTCATATATGAGGAAACAAAGACACAGGAAGTCTAAGCAACTTGCCTGAACAATAGGTAAACTGTTTATTTTAAAAATCAGATGTATTCGTCGTACTTTGGAAATTTATATTCATTAAATAAAAGTTAAAAAAAAAATCAAATGCATTCAAGTACAAAATCAATAAAAGTCCTCTAGTGGTAACGCAAACACACACACACACACGCACACACACACAATAGTTTTTACGAAAGTGCATTAATCATTGAAACTTCAAGAACCTTGTGGCTTCCTAGTACAATGTCTTGGATGAAAGTTTTATTTTAAAGCATTGGTAAATTAAATATATGATAGTGAGGAGGCAGGAAGATGAAAATCAAGGAAGACTAGAATACCAACTAGAAAATGGATGTGCTTCTCAGCAACGTTATTAATCACCACAAAATTAAGAAAGCAAGTCATTATATTTGCATTAAGCATCTGACTTAGAGAATCACGGATCTCTGCAGTAACTAATGAGTATAAATGGGACCTTGTGATCTAGCCAAATACATTCTATGTTCATGTTGTAGCTCAAAACATTGAGCCTTACCCTGCACATAGGCTAACCAAACCAAACCAAATCAAAACCAAGTAGTCTCTGCATAAAATATCAACAGTCCCAATTGGAACTCATACATACAGGATTTTTCTTCTTTTTGTCTTTGTCCTTGCTTGGTTTCCGATTGCTGACAAAATAGTGCAGGGTGCCATACTCCACCAAAGCAGAGAAGACAAAGATGAAGCAAACAGACACAAAGAGATCCATGGCTGTGACATAGGACACCTTGGGGAGTGATTTCCGGGCAATGGTGCTGAGGGTTGTCATTGTCAGGACAGTGGTGATACCTGAAGAGAGACACAAAACATGGGTCATGGGATTGCATCTTCAAGGTGGGGAACTGAGTCACTACTGAGAGTAAACTTGTTTTGAAACTTCTAATGAACACCCTCAGTAATGGAAAACAAGGAATAACTGATATTAAGTCTCTCTGTTCACAAATATTTTTTGCCTGTCTACTATGTATTAGTTACAGTGACACTCATTGAATATACATCGAGGAAGATAATGGATTTAATTCCTTCCTTATTGTGCCTTATATTTTATTGAGACAGACACACTATAATTCATGTGAACAAAGCAAAGTATAATTAAAAATTTTGGTATTTGTCAAAAACTGGTAAGGATGGTGAGAAGCTAGTTAGATGGAATGCTCAGGGAAGACCTCTTTGAGGAGTTGATATTTAAGGTGAAGCTAATACTGTAACTTTTTGACTGCTGATATTTAAGTGGCTCTGAGAAAGGGTAGTTTTAAGCTTTTAGAATGCTTGGAATCTAGAAAGAGGCATGGGGACCAAAGTTCATGATGTAAAGGTTATATTAGGAAACATATGTGGAGAGCCTTGCATTTTATTCCAAGTGCAAGGAGAAATCACTTAAATGTACTAAACAGCGAGGAGGTTTGTATATAAGTTGCATGACCTGATTGATAAATTCTTTAAATGTTATTGGATGAAAATAAATATCTCAGAAGCAACATGATAACTAATATTTACTGAAAACCTTCTTGTGCTGTGCACTATTATAAGCTTTTTGTGTACATGGTTTCTGTGAATATTCACAACAGATCTTTTCATTCTGGTTTTATGGAAGAGGTAAATGGGGTTAGAGGACCAGCTACACAAACAAGGATTGGTAGAGTAGCAGAAAAAGGAATTGAACACAGCAGTTAGACATGATTTCAAAACCACTTCTTTCCTAATTATACAATAGTACCCCCAAAAAACCAGCCCACCTAATGGCAGCTTAATAACAGGAAACAAAGTTAAGATGACTTATCTACATCACGGAAGGGTCAGGACTCTCCTTCTGTAAAAACTGTGATTTATAGTAAAGGCAAAACAGAGTCACTCCTAGCCCTCAAGTAGGTCTAGCCCTCATGATGAGAACTTAAGCAATCCTAAAATTGTAGCCTGTTTCCCTAGCTGTTGGATTAACCCTTTGAATACCCACACATCTTATCAGTCTGTTTATTTAAAAAAAATTGAGAGTCAGAAAGAGACATACACTCTGAGAGAGAAAGACTGCAAAAGAAAGAACTTCATGTCATTATCGCTCCAGCTTTGTGGCTTATATTTCTCACTAGGGAACACACACACACACACACACACACACAATGTTTCTCTCATGTAATGATGTTATAATAATGACTACTCAAACAACAGCTTTCCTAGAGAGCATTTGATTTTCTTGCCTTGATTGATTATGTTAGGGAAATTCAGAAGAATCAGGCACAGAGACTTGAGGGGGAACACAAAGTATAGAGAAGAATGGCAGAATCATATAGGAAAAGAGAAATAAGGTTTTTTTTTTTTTTTGTCTCCAAATGTGGGCTATTGGCATGATATGCTTAGAAGATGTTAAGAAGATGTTAAGTAGAGCCAAGAAATTCTTGGAAAAATAGTTTTAAAAAGCACAAAAGTTGTAAATTTCTTTCTAATTATTCATTTTTTGTAATAGAGTCATCTTAGAAGAGTTTATCAGTTTCCTAGAAATACATAGTTCTCTCGGGGCATTTATTCTTCAGTAAAGTCAAAGTTTGCCAAGTGCTGTTATGAAATTCCAGAGATGGAAAAGAGCAGTTTTGGTTGAAGAAACCTCACAGGATATACTATTCCTTGGTAGAGTAATGATCGAGGGAATTATGGTGACAATTGCCATAGCCCTTTCCTGCACTGTCACTGATTATGTAATAAAACAGCACCCTTTTTATTCTGCACACTCTATGTCAACAGACATTTGTTTTGATATTCATTGTGAGCCCAAAGTACAGTGCTGGTACTCAATACATACTTGTTGAATAAATACATGAAACAATTAACGTGTGAAAGAAAAGAGGCTCAATCTACAGTTAAAAATAGGAATCCATATTTATGACTTGTGAGATACTTTTAATTGCAAATGACAGTGGTTTATTTATTGTTTTTTTGTGTTTTTTTTTTTCTTTTGGCCAGGTACTGTGTCAAGTACTTTATATATTGTCCTACAAAAGTCTTCGTTTATCATTTCTTATATCATTTATATTATTATATTATATATATTATTATATTATATATTATACATATTATATATTATATATAGTTATATTATATTATATATTATTTTATTATATTATTATATAATTTATCATTTCTTATAGATAAAAAACACTTAGTACAGGCAGAATAAAAACTTGCCCTCAATAGTAAATAGTGGAGATGATGTATAAATATAGTCTGCCAGAATTCAAATGCTGTGCTCCAAACCACACTGTGTTATTTCCATGATTATGTGGAAAACATAGATAATATGCAGCGTGAAAATTGCAGATAGTTGGAGTTCTTGTAGATTACTCATCTTGGAATTAACTCGGTCTAGGAGTCTTTTTGTTGTCATGGTAGGACCTTTGGAAGGTTTAAGCTCCTCATCTAGAAACTGGGGGTGGTGGAAAAACCTCCTAAAGCTTTTGTGAGGATTAAATTAAATAATGTGTAGAGCACCAATTCCTAATAAAGTTGCAATATATTTTAGGTATTGGTAACATTTATTTTACAGAAGAAATGTTTGTATTTTTAAATGAAAAAAGCTAATGATGTTGTCTATGCCATAATTCTTATAGAAGTTCATGATTGTACATATTAACAAATAGTATTTTTATGGATAAAACAAAACCTAAATAGGTATCTTGGCCTTTGTTTCATAATCAGGCTACTAACTACACTTGATCTATAATAGGCAAAAGTGTCAACCCAAGAGTACCTCACAAATTTCTTGGAAAATGAGTTTATTTTGGTGCATAAAAAGTTTGAAATCCTTGCATATAAGAGCCTTCAACAAATTCATGCAAAATTCATATTTTAAAAAGTATGCATGAATTAAAAATTTTTTGTACCAGAATTAACTTACTTTAGTTCAGTTTTTTCCACAAATTTTTTCAAGTGTCCTAATATTAAGGTAGATATTTTAGAGGAGTTCTTTTTAAGATAATCTAGTATGCGATATTTAGGTGAAACCAAGTCTGACATGTAAGTTAAACACTGATGTAGCAAATTGGGAAGATGTTATTTAGACTGCATGAAAGTTCATCACAGTGGCAGGCGCCACGGCTCAATAGGCTAGTCCTCCACCTGCTTCGCCAGCACACCGGGTTCTAGTTCGGGTTGGGGCCCCGGATTCTGTCCCGGTTGCCCCTCTTCCAGGCCAGCTCTCTGCTGTGGTCCGGGAGTGCAGTGGAGGATGGCCCAGGTCCTTGGGCCCTGCACTCGCATGGGAGATCAGGAGAGGCATCTGACTCCTGGCTTTGGATCAGCACGATGCGCCAGCCACAGCAGCCATTGGAGGGTGAACCAATGGCAAAAAGGAAGACCTTTCTCTCTGTCTCTCTCTCTCACTATCCACTCTGCCTGTCAAAAAAAAAAAAAAAATCACAGCCATAGAAAACTCAAATCTTGATGAATTGCTTCATGATATTTCTGGGTTCTGCCTGGAACCTCAAGGAAGAGAATTGCTATGATGAGATATAGAAATAATGAGAAGTAGAAAGCTGGTTGTTTTCACTAATTCATCAAAAATTTCACTAATTCAACCAAAAATAAGAGGACTTCATGTGTCTGTTAAATCCAGTTTTGTGAAGTAAAGAAATTAGACTTCCCTTACCTGGGGTGCATGAAATGAAACATATCCATAGATTTTATCAGTTCTTCCAGTCTTGGCATGGAGTAAGCTCCTCAGGGATGTTACCTCACCTCAGATTACTTGGATGAAAAATACCATTTGATGTTTTCATCATTTCATTGGTCACCAGTACACCATAATTAAACTTTGCCATCTATCACATGTCTGCCAAACTGCATTGAAATGTTATAGGCTCAAAGATCAATGTTCCCCATGCTCTGGTGATCTGTGCATGGGAAACAGCCATAATCTCTGAGCCATATGTGTTTATTTATCTCACTTATGAACCAGGTTAACTTTAACTGTTCTGTGGCAATAATATTAAAGTCTATAGGTGTTTAGAGTCATCTCGTTTAACCCTTGATATTGTAAGCACTGCAAATAGCATTAGAAGCAATGAAATCTAGACCACTATTTGAAAAGGTGAGTGTGCATTAGTATCAAGTTAGAATTTTTTAACTATTGACACAGAATGCATGTTCTAGGCAAATTAAATAAGCATATTTTAGGGTTGAACTAAGATATGTGTACTTTAAAAGTCCTCAAGTGTTTAAATTCAGTTTAAGAGGCACTGATCTAAAGAAATGAGACAGCAAAGTTAAACTAGAGGCATTGGCTCAATTCAGCTTCTGGTCTTTCTCCACAATTGGTTTCAACAATCTCTTAGACCCAGAGAAAATCCGTGTGCCATTATCTGAGGTGCAAATATACTACCAACTGACTGTGTGACTGTGTAAATCATTGAACATTACAACACCTTTGCTCCCTTAGCTCAGCACTAAAAAATGTGATAGTCATTTGAATCATAATTAATCCAACTACTACATGCAGTATTTGTGAGGAGTAGAAAAGGGATCATATGAAACATGCCTCACTTAAATTATCAATACCTGCTATTTAAATTATCAATACCTGCTATTTGTTCAGGGACCTCTCCTTTCTTCCTGAACCTGATCCCTTTCCCTCAGTAGTCATTTGTCAATGAACACTCACTGAATGAGGAGATGAAATGAGCTACTGAAGTGGTCTTACAAGGATTTTTGACCAGCAAAAGTTCAGGCTTCAAGGGGAGACACTAATGTTTTCATGAAAATGTTTTTGTGAAGAGTGTAGATTGATATACGTCAATGGATTTGTCCCATATACTTGTAACACATAGATTAACTGAATCATCATTGAGGTACCAGATATGTGCCAGGCATTGTATGAAACACATAAAAGGCATTTATATTCTGATATTAGGCTGATAAATAAGCATGTAATACATTCTATTAATAGGCTCCATGTATTTTGGGTTTGTTTCGGTACAGAGTATTAGACAAGATATTTGAATTGTGGAATAGAAATTATGATACAAAGTACTGCATGTAACAGGAAAAATCAAAATAACTTCATTTTGAAACAGATGGGTAACTAAATTGGGTTTGGAAGAGGACAGATATGCAAATGATGTCTTTTTTTCCCAGTAATCACTTCTGCCCCTAGTTTAATAACCTAGTACAGATCATTTTTGTCAGAAAATGACCATAGTAGCTGACATTTCTGAATCTTTACTCTGCTTCATGCACTTGGCATAGAATACCTTATTTAACCCTAATAAATCCCCACAAATTAGGTACAAGAAGAATTGCATGCTTTATGTGTGAGGAAACCATGATTTAGAGAGATTACAGGGTCTTCCAAGATCATTTATATATATATATAATGTATTTATATATATATATTTATACACACACACACACACACACACATATATATATATATATATATGGTTTGAAACCTAAATTAGTTTGACTCAAACTAATAGTTCTAAACTATTATATAATATAGATTCTATCCAAAGAACTAGCAAAAAAATGATCTTGGTTCTGCATACGTGATAAAGTGATTGTAGTTTCATAAATTATCTTGTGTTAGCTTTAGTCTTAGTCAACTCCTTTTTCCTCACCACCCTCCAACCCCAGCTACCCTAGTTTACTCTTAAGGAATTTTGTCATATAAACATTTCAACCCTGGACTTAGACTACTACGCCCTGTAAGTCTGTGGCTTTGTTTTAGTTTATGTAAGACTTCTTCCTCATGTGGAGGAAAAGATGTGAAAATACAAGACAAATATCACCATATGCAATATAGTTCAGCAAGAAGCAATCATTCTCAAAGCATCCCCCCAAATTTCACAAGAATTTTTCTAAAAATAACATGTTCAGTGACTTTCCTGTAAAGAATCAGTTACTTCAAATGTCATCACAGTAATTAATGCATATTGGAAGAAATTAATAGCCAGTAGTACACTGGTGAACGTGTAAAAATCAATACTTGAGAAAAAAAAAAGATAGCTCTGAATTTCACTTTGCCAATTTCTAGGTTGTTAATACTTCCACCTTGGCTGATTTTAAGATGTCAGTTGACATCACTGAACCCAGAGTTAGAGAAGGACAAAAACAATCAGTTCTCACAGATTAATGTGTGCAGCTTCAGCACACTCCTATTATTATTGGACAGAGTCCAAAATGTACAAACCAAGTGCCTGTTAAAATTAAAAGTTTTTTAATAGTTAACTTAAAATTATTATGCAAGCTTATTAAAGAAACCTATCGAGGTAATTAAGGAAAACAGAACTTAGAAACTTTAAAAATATTTATTAATTTGTTCTACTTAATACTTTGGTTGAATACTGTAATCGATACACAATTCTTCTTAAGTGCTGGAACAACTGAAAAGTGATTGCTGTTAAATATAAGAGTGGGAACAAGAGAGGGAAGAGATGTGCAATTCGGGACATGCTCAAGCTGACTTACCTCAAACAGTAGAGTTAGAAACATACCAGGGGATTCGAATTCAATCCCATCGAGGTGGCATGTACCAATGCCATCTCACTAGTCCCAGTGATCAATTTCTGTTCACAATTGATCGTAATGATAGACTAAGAACCAAAGGGATCACATAAAAAAGAATAGTGTCTGCAAAGACTAGCTGATAGAATCAAAAAGGGAGAGAATGGTCCAACATGGGAAGTGAGATACACAGCAGACCCATAGAATGGCAAATGTCCTAACAGCACTCTGGCCTCAGAATCAGCCCTTAAGGCATGCGGATCCGGCTGAAATGCCCATGAGAGTATTTCAGGCATGGAAAGCCAAGACACTCTGGGGGGCGGGGGGGAACCTAAATGAAAGATCTCTGTGAGTGAGATCCCAGTGGAAAGAATGGGTCATCAAAGAAGGAGGTACCTTTCTCTGAAGGGAGGAGAGAACTTCCACTTTGACCATGGCCTTGTCTAAAAATGATCAGAGTCAGTGAACTCAGGGGGCTTCCATAGCCTTGGCAGCTCATGACAAGAGCCTAGGGTGATTACTGATGCCATAAACAAGAGTGTCAATTTGTTAAGTCAACAACAGGAGTCACTGTGCACTTACTCCTCATGTAGGATCTTTGTCCTTAGTGTGCTGTACATTGAGATCTAATGCTATAACTAGTACTCAAACAGTATTTTTCACTTTATGTTTCTGTGTGGGAGCAAACTGTTGAAATCTTTACTTAATGTATGCTAAACTGATCTTCTGTATATAAAGAGAATCGAAAATGAATCTTTACATGAATGGAAGGGGAGAGGGAGTGGATAAGGGGAGGGTTGCGGGTTGGAGGGATGTTATGGGGGGGAAGCCATTGTAATCAATATTCTGTACTTTGGAAATTTATATTCATTAAATAAAAGCTAAAAAAAATTTATTAAATTATTATAGCTTTCTTTAAAATAAATCAAATGACATTTCTATGCAATTACTGGCTAAATTTAAAGCATTACACCTTAGAAAGAGGGATAAAGTACCTTGTACTGGGGTTTATCTTGGGAAACAACACAAATATATCTCACCCAAAGATGTTCTGGCTGGAACAGCATCCTTATTGATCCAGAAAGATACCCATGACAAGACAACAATGAGTGTGCAAGGGATGTAGGTCTGGATGGTGAAGTACCCCATTCTTCTGCTCAGATCAAAGTAGACGGACATGACCACGTAATCTCCTAGAACAGAACAAAGATAGTACTATGTGATCCCCTATTAACAAATGAAAAGAATTTGGAAATAAATATGTGTTCAGTTCTCATGTGTACACATTTAAATTTGAGACTTCTTTGTAAGGAACATGCTGTAAACTATTTTCTATCCACTTGAGTTAAAAAGAAAAACAAACAAATACACCAAAAACCCAATGAACTGAATCCTGATCTTTTCATAAGATGCAACTATTAGTTGGAAGAAATAATTTTTGAACATTTAGATCACATTTTTTTTCTAGATGATTTTTTTCCTTGTCTTCCTACTTGCCACCCAAAGTGTGAATTTATTACATGGCTTAGAGGGCAGGAAACAGTGTTTCAACACTATGTCAATCTTGCTTGTAAAATCTTCTGAATTTTGTAGCAATTTCCTGTTTTTCTTAAGACCTTTATCCACACAAACTGGAGGGAAATATGCTGATGGTTGACAATAATAAATATTTTACTCAGAATTTACCAAATTAGTATAATGAAATATTTTTCATGCTTTCATTGATTTATATTGTTTTCTTTCACAACTGTCATTTAAATTTGCAATTCATCATTCATTTGTGTGGTGATTTTTGTTATATCTATCTCTTCTATTGGACTTTGTAAGTCTGTGAATGGTTATCCATTAGTCCACTATTGCACAACTGGTTCTTAGCATCCTCTTTGACTACAAATGGGCAATCAGTAACATTTTCCGAATGAATGAACAAGTCAGTGCATGCATTTGTAAATTTTAAAAATGAAGAACATAGGAAGGTGTATTATTGAGCATGCTGGATTAAAGAGGGGAATTTACAAAAATTTATTTACATAAATAATCAAGAGAATATACTAATTAAAAACTAATAAAGGAACCAAAGAACCATCATATGGCTATGCATGAGACCAGTTTATTTTGAAACAATTTGAAGTCTCTGATTTTTAAAAATTATGATGTTTAACATTCTTTTAAAATTCCATATCCTTCCTTTTATTCTATGCCAAGTATTATTTTAAAGGATTTCAAGTTTTGAGATTAGAAAATCCATTTTTGAGATATCCCTGTTAATATACATTTATGTTTTCTTTATTCTGTTGGAGAACATCAGTTTCAAGGACTCTATCTACACTTGTAATATGAGATATGTGCATAAGACCCCTTTTCAAATGTTGCTCTTTTTTCTTTACTAGATATATTTTGTCCTAGAAAATAAATAGTTAAATACAAATAATATATTTTAGCTTGTTTACTTGGCTTTGTGCGTGTATTTCCCTTTGTGCCTAATCATTTTATCTGGTTTGAAACTAAGGTACCCTAGAAATTTTATACAAAAAGACTGCCTTAGCAGTGTAAGTTATTACCACCTCAATACAGTTCTTTCCCACTCTCAAGCTTCATCCTGTAGCCTTCCAAGCTGTTGACATGCAAAACCATTAGATATCTGAGGAAGTAAACACTTTGTACCTAAACCCTTCAGTGTTTCCTATGTGCAGTTTTGAATACTTTAAACACTGTCTTTTAGTAGACTGAAATACTACTACTACTAGTTTATATCATGGCTATTGAGTAGGTATCAAGACCTACCACTATCTTGGGAATAAGTTAATGGGATATTATTTCCCTCCTGGAGATCAGAAGTAGCAGTATTTAGCAACTGTGCCTGTAGACTTGATGGTAGAAATGTGTTATCAATGATAACTATAATTTAGTTAATGCCAATGAGATTTTTTCTCTGCATTAATTTGCCTGAACATAAGGTAATTAAATTTTTCACATTTTGCAAATTTGTTTGGTCTCTGCTTTTGCCCCAATTTAGAATATAATAATAGACATGGGCTATAAATGAGGAACAAAAACATTTAAGATGACCTCTATATTTTAATTTTTTATTTATATTAGGGAAAGTTCATATGTTTCCTATGTACAGTTTTAAGAACATAATGATACTTCCCACTCTACACTCCTGTCCTCCTTTGCTCCCACCCTGCCTTTTCCTTCCTTTCTTATTTTTCTTTTATATTTACAATGACATACTTTCAATTTCCTTTATAACCACAAACTAATCCCTCCACTAAATAAAGAATTCACCAAGGAAGTAGCAAAACCTGCTATTCCTCAGGAGTATAGACAAGGGTTGTAAACAATAATCATAATCTTAAAATGTCAATTTCTTTCATGTACATTATATTTTTGTAGTCAGTATATTAGTAACTACAAATCACGGAAAACCTTTGTCTTTTTGGGTCTGGCTTATTTCAATAAACATAATCTCCAGTTGAATCCATTTTATTGCAAAAGATAGAATTTCATTTTTTTTGTAGCTGGGTAGTATTCAATTATGCATATTTACCATAATTTTTTATCCTGTCATCAGTTGATGGATATCTAGGTTGATTCCATATCTTAGCTGTTGCAGTAAACATGGGATTACAGATAAGTCTTTCATATTCTGATTTAATTTCCTTTGGGTAAATTCCCAAGAGTAGAATGGCTGGTTTATATGGTAGATCTATTTTCAGATTTTTGAGGACTCTCCATACTGTCTTCTGTAATGGCTGTACTAGTTTACATCGCCATCAACAGTGTATTAATGTATCTTTTCCCTTACAATCTTGCCCGCATTTTTTTTTTTTAAATTTTTGAGTGGTAGCCATTCTAACTGGGGTGATGTGAAACCTCATTGCAGTTTTTACTTGCATTTCCCTGATGGCTACTGATGTTCAGGATCAGGAGCCATCAAGATGATCTCTATTAATATCTGTCTTTTTTCTTTCTCATTTCCTTGATCAGAATACCATTGGCTGTCTTGTTCCAGGTAGGAAAAGCAAAGAGAAGGAGAAATTTTCTTTTTAATTAATAAATATTCTGAGATACTTTTTCTACTATTTCCCAAGTCCTTGAGTTTTCTGCTCATTTTAAATACATTTAAATGAATGTTTAAAAATTACAATATTTTAGACACAGGTAGAGAGTACTAGTAACTTCTTCATTATCTTGTAAGTGAATGAGAATCTGCACTTTGGTATTAATGATCTGACTTTTTAAAAGGTGAACTTTAATTTTGTCCAAAGTTAACAAGATAATTATCTCAATTCAATTCTCTGCTTCCCTTCAGGTCAGAATCTAAATGTCCATGGTCCACTTATCTATCAATTTCCATAAATAAGGTAATAGCTTCTCAGCATCTTCCGTCTTTGCCAGCATTTCCGAAGCTTTTCTATGAGTGGATTACAGATTCAAACTTGGGAACAAACCATTTAAGAGCAAAGCAGCTTCACAGTGACAGCCTGATTCCTGCCTTATCTCTAAGCCCACATCACTTTTTGTATTCTTAAAAACTCTTGGCTGAGCAACCTGTAAAATCAAATCCCCTTAAAATGCTCCATCAGTGGTTCCCCAAGCTCCAAAGATTTAAATACCAACCAAAGTCAAAGTCAAAAATACCAACCAGCCATTTCAAATATATTATTTTTACTGATAAATTCTAACATGATGTTTAAAGTCACAGCATTTTCTAAATTAGTTATGTTTCTGCATTAGCTTGAATTTAGAATAAATTGACAGGCTAGGACTGAAGGAAAGTGACATATAATTTGAAATAACATCTATTAATATCCATTTGTACATTGTTTTGTTTTTTGTAAGACTCTCTTGTCTGGTTGTAGGAAAAGACTATGCATGTTAATGAAAAATTATTGTTTTTGCTGTTAAATAAGCATGAGAATTTTACAATTCAGTATTTATTAGTATGTTATTTCATCCATGAAACTGTCTACTCTTAAAAAGTTAAAGATTTTATAGTAATGAAATATTTTTCTAAATTGAACCCCTGAAATTATATGTATGCATATATTTATTTACATATATATTAGTAATTAGTGGTGATGTCTATCATGTTGAGATCCTGGGATGAATGGTTTGCATATATGCTCTTTAAGTATCCTAAAATTTTGTTATGATGTTGAAAAACACCAAGTGAAATGTATTTTCTGCTTGTTGCTCTCTTATGATTCTTATTCCACTTCAAAATAGTTGAATAGGATATATCTTTTTCTATTAGGATAACTTTGAAGCCATAAATATTATGCTGATTACATTCCTTCTTTATTCAAGCCATGCATATATTTAATCACTGCTTTGCAAAGAACACTACATTATTAATGTGGCGTTTAGGACTATGGGGTCTCATAACTGAATCTAAATTAAAGGCTCAAATGGAGCAAGATTATTTTGTCTCTACAATGTAGATAGACCTACTGGTAAGCTGAGACAAGGCATTAAGTCTAACTTAATCATCACTCATTAAACATTGCAATCTGAGACATAACCCCATGAAATTGACTTTTAGTCAAATGGCTGAATTTTCTTTAAAGAAAATTATTTTCTGAAATTAGATCTTTACCTCACCACTTCACCATAACACATAAAATAAATTTAAGTTGGACTGAAGATACAAATTTCTGAGTGAATATAAATACCAAACAAGAAAAATGTATAGAATATCCATACATTCTTAATATGGGAAATGTTTGTTAAGCATAATATAAAATATAAAAGCCATAAAGAAAAAAATACCTCAGGTCTTCTGTGTAAAAATTAGAACTTTTGAATTATAAAGAATGCTATAACTAGTTGTAAAATGAAAAAATAACACACTTGACTGGAATATTTCCAAAATAAGTAAGAAATTGAAGGTTAATATTATAAAGAATTTCAGTTAGTCATTGAGAAAAGAAATCTAAATTTTTAACTAAGAAATGAATGGGAAGTTTACAAGTAATAAATACTTGAAAATATTCTCAAGTTCAGTAGTGATCAATAAAAGGTGGAGGTAAGTAGTTTAGTTTTAGTCTATCTGATTAGGAAAAAATAAACTGATAATGTCCAGAATTGACAGGGTATGAACTAGGAACACAGCTATACAATATTTGTGGGAGGACCGGTGCCGCGGATCAGTAGGCTAATCCTCTGCCTTGCGGTGCTGGCACACCGG